TCAAGTCAAGGTAAGAAAACGTGACCAACTTGTCACTAAAAAGGGTAAATATTAAGTTGACACTTTGTTGAGATTCGTGCACGTGTTTGATCCCTCCAGGATTTCAGGGAGAAGAACACGGACCACATGCGTCCTGACATCGTGGCGTTGTTGCGGAGCAGTGACCGCGCCTACATCCGGCAGCTCATCGGCATGGATCCGGTGGCTATGTTTCGCTGGGGCATCCTACGTGCCACCATCAGGGGTATCGCTGCTTTCAACGATGCGGGTCGTTCCTGGGCGGCCAAAAAATCAGGTACATCATCATAGACTAAAAAAATTCTAAAAAAAAAATCTTATTCTTCTTCTTCTTTTACTTTTTCTTCTTTTTCTTTTTCTTCTTCAGACCAGTGTCTTGAGCAACATATAGTTGTTTTTTTATGCTTTAATAACCATGGTTGAAGGCTGCGTTCTCTCTGCCTCGTGATTATTCTTTCAGGTCAGAATACAGAGGATTGTTAATCTCAGAAACACGAGATTTTGAGGGATTTTTTTTTATTATTTCTTAGGCTATTTTTGTGTTCTCGTACACAGTCCATGGACACAGAAGTCTTTCTAATGTGGATTAACAAGATTAAACTAAGTTCAGACACAAAGTGAAAATGACAAAACAAAAACTGCTGCTGCGGTCGTGGGCCTCAGATCAACCTCAGAGTCTGATTATGGTTCATGTTTGTTTTGTTTGTTTTTTTGCCTTCTCTTGTGTTCAGGTGTTATCCGTCCGATCTCCAGAACTCCACTTGGAGAACTCCAACGGTCCAATGCCCCGGTAGAAAGAATGTACAAGTAAGTGTCGTTCAAGCTGAACTGAATGTCTCGGGTGATGAACTTCCTGTTCATTTGGAGGTTTAACTGCAGACTCTTGGTCTCCTTTTGTTATCGCTGTCTGTTTTTACTGTTTACCTGTGTCAGCGTTTCATGAAGCTGACATGACCTGTGACCTGATGGTCCATGGGATGTTGAGGGAAATGTTCGTTTGTTGTTTGGGGGAAACCTGTTTTTTTTTTTCTGGTGACTTTTCCACGTTTTTAGACGAGATGTGAAGGGTTCATGTGAAGGTCAGACGCCTGCTCTTAATGTTTGTCTATATCTGTGGGGGAAAACAACTGGTGACGATTCAGACGTCATTTTGTAAGAAAAAAAAAACCAACAGACCTACTACGCTCATCACGAATCCTCTCCACCCTTTGGTGACTCCACTCTGTGTGTGCGGTTCTCTCCTCTTCCCTCTCCCTTCCACAGACGGGCATCTTTGCTCGATTTCTACTTTGATCACTCAGAGGAGCGCCCTCTAGAGGCCTTTGAAGACATCTTTGCTAGCTATGAGAATAAGAAGTAAGTGAATGTAGCGACGAAAAACGTGAGGCCAGGCAGGAAGGAAACGGACGTTTGTTTTGGTAAAACGCGTGATTCTCAGGATTCTCTTCACTTTTTTCCAACACAAAACCCATAGTAATAGAAGTGAATTACAGTTATTACTATTCTGTTACGTAACAACGTAGCAACACAGCTGTATTTGTCATATTCAAGGAAACATCAGACAGAGAAACATTAAGTCAAATTTACAAAGCAAAATTCATACATAAATAAAAATCAAATTAATTTAAAAAAAGGCAGAATTTTAAGTAAATGAAGTAAAAAAAAGTATTTAAGATCCCAACAATAAGCACCTGTATTTAACCACACATATGGAGGTGACTTCAGTCGTGGTGTTAAATTATAAAGATCAGATCATAATGTTTTTTCTTTTACACCACTGACGACACCCGTCATTAAATTAATTTAACGTACGCATGAACGTTGAATAAACACACATGCTTTAAAGGGAATCAAAGTTTGGAGAATCCTTTTTCTAAATGCTGAGCTCTCTGAACTCTGACTTGTCACATCCTGCAGTCAGATCTGAAATTACTGGGTTTATTTTTTTCCTCTCAAGGCTCTAGGCCGTCTTTTCCCTTTCCCTTTCGGCCACATGGTTGTCATTATGACTCATCCAGTCTCCGTCAGATCTGTTAAAAACTCAGGAGTACAGTTCAGGTTCACCGCGGCTCCTACACAGTATGTGTCGCCCTTTCCTTCACTGCGTGGCCTCCTGAGCCTCACGGCCCTTTTTATATGGTGAGTAAGGAAACACTGCATGGACAAAAAAAAAAAAACAGTATAAAAGACCTCCACTTTAACCTCACCATCAGACACCACTGTAACAGCAGCTCAAATTCTCAAAAACTTACAATCACACCACGAGTAAAAGCCCAGCATGGAACCAGATCCAGTCCAGTCACAGTCAACACCAAACTAAGCTCTGCATGTCGTCCACCAAACCGACAGGGATGTGGCGTGAATACGACCAAAAACGTCTGTCTGTCTGTCTGTCTTCTCCGTTCCCTTAAGCAGTACTGCAGCATGGTTGGGGGGGGGAGTGGTCTGCAGGTTGATCAAATGTGATCGTCATCAAACTTCCTGAGACCAGACCCCCAACTATCCTGCAACGGGCCGTCCAAGGAGGGACGTTTTACCCCTTAACTCTTCTTCCTGTGGGTGTTTTTTTCCCCCTTTCCTGGCTTCTTTTGATCCAGTTATTTTATTTTATTTTTAATCTTATTGTTTATTTTGTTCCCCCCTCCCTCCACTACCCTCTCCTTTACACTACTTTCCTCCCTGCACTGGGTGTGTGCACGTGGTGTGATCAGAGACATGCATGCAGAGATCATCAGCTCCATTAAGAACTTACCGCTGGATGGTGAAGACCCTCGCAAGCTGCTGCAGTCCTGGGGTCGCCTTCGCTTCCCACGACATGTCCTCCAGTGAGTCTGCAAGCAGACTTGATCCAACACCAGTCTTGTCAACTCACAATGTTTAAAAAAAAAAAGCTCCTTTTGAGCTCCTTGACTATCACTGCTGTTTTTTGATTATTTTTTTACAACTTTCACATTCAGTAACACTTGACTATCACTGCTGTTTTTTTTTACAACTTTCACATTCAGTAACATCTTATGTGATGTTCATATCAAACCAAAGTGCTTCTTGAAGAAAATGCTAATGGAGTTAGCTAAAGTTCTGTATGTAGTTACCGTTGCATTGGCTGTGATGACTGGACTTTGCATGAACAGCAGTCGACGTTCACCAACGTGACGACGGCAGTAGTGGTTTACCAGCATGTAGGAATATCCAGTGACATCTGCTGTAATGAACTCAGAACGTAGTGGACATGAACACACAACCTGTCTGTGTGTCAGTGATGGCAGGAGTGCATGGCTGATTGGCTGGTTGACTGGCCTTGTTACCATGGTGATTGTTTCCTCCCTTCTCCTCCAGCAGTCAAACTCATCCATTGCTCTCATCCTTTTTTTTTTTTTTTTTTCCCGTTCATCGCGCTCTGCCTGTGCACGTCAGTCGTCCCGTCGTCCGTCTCCTCCTCCATCACCAGCATGAAGATGTCAGCCTTCTGTACTAACCCCGTTTTCTCACACCAAACTCCTCTTTAACACTTTCACGCGTTCAACTTGACCCACTTTATGCTTCTCTTCTTTTCCACAGGAAAAACAAGTGCACCAAACAGAAACAGGTCATCCCCAAGGTAAAAGAAATATGTCACATCCCCTCAGACAGATGCACAGGAAACACTGCTCCAGTCACAGTCGACATGAACAGATTTAATAAACACTGCCCCAGTCACAGTCACAGTCGACATGAACAGATTTAATGAATTAACTCTCCATCATTTTTGCTGAATCACGACCAGTGAACGTAGGTAAACAACTCAACTTTGCTTCACAGAATCTGCTGGACTCTCGCTCCCTGAAGTTCATCGTCAGTCTTACGCTGCACGATCGCACAACCAAGTCTCTGCTGCACCTGCACAAGAAAAAGAAGCCTCCAAGCATCAGTGCTCAGTTTCAGGTCAGTTCAACGCAGCGATCTTTGGTGCAGTTCAAAACACCGTGGGGTGAAATATGTGTTCTTAAAAAAAACTTTTCTTTTTTTGTTTTTGTCTTCTAGACCTCTCTGACCAAACTTCTGGAGACTCTTAACCGAGCAGAACCTTTCTTCATCCGCTGCATTCGCTCCAACGCTGAGAAGGTATCAGTGTCGTCTAATTCCTTCTTCACTTTTTTTTTCTGTTCACATCCAGAAATGTAGGTGTAAGTTATCGCAACTTTGTTCTGTACTGGTTTGTCTTTGACGTGTGGGATCACGACAGTGAGAAAATATCCCTTTATATCTGAATTTGTTAACAGAATATTTGAGTCATGGTCTACAACAATTTAATAAGAATGTATTTTTTTATTTTTAATATATTTTTCTATATTTTTTACTAAAATCAAATTTTAAAAAATCAAAATAGAAACATAGAGCAATATTGGAATTAAAGAATTTGAGTGCTAAAAAATTTCCTTTTAAAACTTATACTAAGCTGAGGTGGTGGGCCACTTAAAATGATGAGGCGGGCCAGATTTGGCCCGCCAACCTTTAGTTTGACAAATGTGACTTGTGATCCTTTAATCTGACGTTGTTCAATATTAGATTTTATACAAATGAGGCAGTGACAGGATTCTCAGACATTTTTGATACGAACGTCAAATGGTTTTTGTGTGACACACGTCCGTCTTTGTCCTGCGTGTATTTGCGTTTTTACATGAGCAGAAGGAGATGAATCTGGACGAGACTTTGGTTCTGCAGCAGCTGCGATACACAGGCATGTTGGAAACTGTTCGTATCAGGAGATCGGGCTACGGAGCCAAGTACACATTCCAGGTAAAGTAGTTAGTTTTCTGTTGGGGAACAGTCATGTAGTATTTACAAATATTTATTTACAAATATCACATCACAAAATGCACAAGAACATACAGATGGACGATGAACAGAAGTCACAGATAACTGCATGTCGTACAGGGTTTTTTTTTTGCTCACTTGTCAAACAAACGTAGAAATCCTCTCATCACGTCTTCATTTTTCTGTGGTTTTTTTATGTCTGCAGGAATTCGTTGATCAGTTCAGAGTTCTGTTGCCAAGGAGTGCAACCGCCTGTAAAGAGGACATAGCAGCACTGCTGGGGAAGAAGATGGGCCTGGACCCTACCACGTATCAGATCGGAAAAACTAAGGTACACCAAAAACAGTCACAGCAGCCTCTTGGTCCTATCGTAGCGTCTGTTCAGCATCTGTTCATTTTGACAGAAATAAAGATTACACATTTTATCTTGCATGTATACGTAGGTTTTCTTAAAGGAGCCTGAGAGACAGCAGCTGCGGGACACGCTGCACAAAGACGTGATGCGAAAGATCATCTTCCTTCAACGTTGGTTCAGAGCTCGTCTCCAGAGGAAGGAGTTTCTGGACATGAGGAGGGCAGCCATCGTGATTCAGGTACTTTTCAGAGTCTCATGTGTCTCATTTCAGTAACTTTAAAAAAGATTTTCACTGAAAATAAGTAATAATCACTCTCCTCTTCTAGAAATCATGGCGTCGATACTGCGTAAGGGAGCAAAGGCGGCGTGCGGCTACTTTAATCCAGGCTGTGTGGAGAGCGCACAAACAGAGGTTAGAAATCCACCGCCAACAACGAGGTGCGACCAAAATACAAGCGCTGGTCAGAGGCCATTCAGCACGCAAGAGGTGAGAAGACAGACGGGACATCACCGTCTCTGTAGCTTAGGTCCCACACCACCAGTTGAACATGCTGACAGTCATATGTTTTTTTTTTTTTACTAGGAACGAAAAAGAGCGTGAAGAGAAACAGAAAAAGGAAGATGAGGAGCGAGAAGCTCAAAGGAGAGCAGAAGAAGAAGAAGAACGAAAAAGAAAAGAGGAGGAGGAAGAGGCACGGAGGAAAGCAGAGGAAGAGGAGGAAAAGAAAAGGATGGAAGAGGAGGCCAGGAGAAAAGAGGAGGAAATGGAGGCACAGGTGAGAGCTGAGGAGGAGGAGGAGGCAGCTAGGAAAGAAGAGGAAGCACAAAAAAGGAGAGAAGAAGCAGAGGAGAACCAACTGATGAACGAACCTCAGACGAGGGAGCACCCCGACATAGAGCTGATCACGGAGGAGATGCTGGATGAGGATGACAATAATAAGTCTAGCTCAAACACAGAGGAAGAGGAGGAGGAGGAGGAGGCACGGGACAAGGATGAAGAGCTAGAAGATGAGCTAAATCTGGAGACAAATGGTACCCCTGCTGAGGCTGGACCGCAGCTGGATGACTCAGAGGACAAGGAGAATCAAACACTAGAACAATCAGACCTTAAATCCGGCCTGTCTTCTGACAAGGCCGACGCTCACGCACTAATGTCCACGTCTCCAGATCAGGGCTCAGATACACAGGGTCCACGCAATAACTCCACGCTATCAAACGATGAACAAAACAGAGTGCGACCAACGCTTGTAAACAAGGGCCAGTCGTCCCGCAGCCAGGAGAAGAGAGAGCAGAGGAGACGGAGAGGGCTGGAACACAACCAGAGGGAAACCGATCGAGCTGCCTCCTTCTCCTCCGTGGACAAAAGCCAGGACGCTGCTAAGCTCAAAGAGCGTTCTGAGAGCAAGGAGTTGGACCAGTACGCCTTTGTGACCTGGAAGATGAAGGAGGACAAGGGAGGGAAGAAGGAAGCAAAGAGTTCAGATTCCGCTCCTGTGCGTCCGTCTACGCTGTCTCTGACGCCTGTGGATTCGGCCGCCGAGAGAAATGGCCACGGGGAAAGTGCAGGGTCAGTGAACCTGCAGCGACGTCCCGGGGCAATGAAGGAGAAGCCGGAGAAATGGAGAGGGAGGAGAAGCGACGCAGAAAACTCTGAGAACACCAGCCCTCCGACTCAGAACACAGAGGAACGAAGGAAAATGACATTGTAGGTTTAGCTTTAAAAAAAAAAATTTGATCCTGACAAATGTGCTCTTCCACCATTATAAATAAAAACTATATATAATATAAAGACGATGATGAAATGGTGAAAGTACCTGTTAATTAATTATGTATTTTTCAATGGAAATGGATTCACAACAATGAACTATTAACCATTTCATAGTGTTGTGAAATAAAATAAAAATATGTTTGAAAGTAAGTGAGATAAAAACCACGGTACCAAACTACAAATGTTATTTTATAATTAATGAGGTTTTTTTCTGCCTGCAGGATTGATATGGCCTCCTCATCAATCGACAGTTTGTCTCCAGGCTTTGAAGGAGCCGGCTCTTCATCACCCAGAGAGGTGTTTATTATACAGCCTAACAACCAGTGATGAACAGTTACCTGCGTAGTCACGGTTCATCATTTTTAATTTTTGTGTTCTTCGCTGCAGATATGTCCATCCTCGGACAGTGACGGCTCCAGACGCAGCTCCTTCAGAAAGAAACACCAGGATGGTTCCATGGATTCAGGCGCCTCCGTCCCGTCCACACCGGACAGGTAACCAGCGTTTGATCGTGTCTGAGAGCACATGAAAAAATGCACCGTGAGACGAGACACTGTGAGTCTCAGAGTAGGGTTGAAATCACATTCCCGACTGTGTCTCTGTGCCCCTCAGGTCGGGTGGTTTCTTCAGCAAGATCCTGAAAAAACGACCCCACAAAGAGGCTCAAACTCCAGACAACGGAGAAGTGACGTTGGCTCAAATCCTGAGTGAGAAGCCAAGTGGAGGGGAAGGTAAAAATAAACGCACCGATCAAACAGAGAGCTTGTCACTGATTAATATCAGTACAGACATAGTGTGTGTGTGTGTGTACATTGAACCATTAGTCACACTCTGTCGTTACTGTGTGTAGATAGTGAGTATGATCAGTCCTCAAGCTGCCGCACAGCTGCTGTGACTGTGATCTAACCTCACGGAGGGAAACCATGAAAAGAAAACACAGGTGTATTATAGGTTTATTTTTCCCAGGCTTGAAATAATCCTGCTGTTTGCTTTCTGAGAAAACACTGACCTGTGCAGGGTTATGTTCTGTAATAACACAGCAACTCTGCTGGGTTTCAAGGTTTGAATTCAGTTTGAGACGGGAGACACAGAAATGGGTTTATTTACTACAAAAACTGTCTTTTTTTGTTTGTTGTTGTTGTTTTTCAGCTGCTACAGCTGCACACGTGTCCTGGCCTGTCCCTCAGCCTCACGGTGACCGGGCCGGGAAAGGCTTTAGTCGCAATTCTTCCATAAAGATCAGTCGGGCCACACGCGTCTCAGAGCAGTGGAACGCGTCGCTGGACAGAGAGCTGACTAACGCAAATGAGCTGCGACACCTGGACGAGTTTCTGGGCAACCAGGTAAAAAAAAAAAAGGACAACACGAAGTTAGGTTAAAATGAAAAAGTGAAAGATTTTAATCCATCGAAAAACACCTGAACTTTTTTCTTTCTCTTCCCTCAGGTCAATGACTTCCGCTCCAGAGGGAAGCCACTGTCAGCAGCAGAGGCCATCTTTGTCACGGCCACCATGCAGTTCAGAGAGAATATCAAAGCCATGTATTCCCTCACAGTAAGTGAGAAAATCATTTTCTCCATTTTCTTCATCTCAGATCTTTTTGACTTACCCATATTGTCTCATTCATTGTCCTCTGTCTTAAACGTCTTCCAGAAACCCACCATCGGCTACAAAGGTCTGATGACGGGTTACCAGAACAAAGTGATCCATCTGGCCGGCGAGCAGCAGAAAGGTGAGGTCCAGCTGGTGGTCAACCTGTTCCAGTCGGTGCTGGACGGCTTCATCAGAGGTGAAATAAAGAAAGAAGAAGCCGAACCAGCGAAGGTGCGACACTCAAGAATCACAGAATCATTTAGGTCAAATCAAATCAAACAGGAACCAGGTACTATCTCCACTGTTGTTTTTGTTCAGCCTGTCAAAGCTCGAAAGAAGAGGAGGAAAAAAGATAAAAGTGTGAGTGATCGTATACTACTGCAATTTAAGGTATTCAACTGGAGTACTTTTTCAGTTGTTTTTTTTCTAATCAGTGACTTGTGCGCCCCCTACAGGTGGAGAGCCCCCTGGATCATGTTTTTGTCAACTACCAGGTCAGCATCATGCAGTCCTGTGACCAGTGCAGCTCTTACATCTGGGGGATGGAAAAGGCCTACATGTGCAGCTGTGAGTCTCTCACACACACACACACACACACACACACACAACATGGCTTTCTCACACATGAAGACGTTTCGGCGCAAAAACACGAATTGTCACAATTCCGTGTCGGATCCTTGTCTTACAGATTGTAAAATGGTGTGCCACAAAAAGTGCATCTTCAAAATAGTCACCGACTGCTCCACCTTCTGTGCCAAAAAGGTGAGTGAATCCCCGGAGTAGATTATTAAATTAGAGTTTGGATTTAAAGGCGGACGACTGAGGCTGAACCTCTGGTTTCTGTGGGAATTCATTCAGAACGACGACGACTCCAACGGGCAGCACTTTGGTGTGCGTGTGTGTCATCTGGTCAGTGACAAAAACCCTGTTCCCATGGTGTTGGAGATGATGCTGGAGCACGTGGAGATGAACGGCCTCTACACCGAGGGCATCTACCGCAAGTCTGGCTCCGCCAACAGGATCAAAGAGCTCCACCAGCGGCTGGAGACCGGTGAGCTCCTCCAGCGGTCACGGCGGTCAAACCAGTCACATGACGTATTGATTGATTGATTGATTGATTATCTAACCCTGTGCTGCTGTCGTAGACCCTCATCTGGTCTGTCTGGAAGACTACCCCATCCACACAGTGACCGGTCTGATCAAACAGTGGCTGAGGGAGCTGCCCGACCCCCTCATGACCTTCACACATTACAATGACTTCCTGCATGCTGTTGGTAAGTAGTGGGGCTTTTATCCACTAGGTGGCAGCATTCTCCAATCCAACAGCATAACTGAGAGTAGGCCGTGCAGTTGATAACATGAGGGAAATGGAATCAATGAAATATTAATATAGATACAGTTCAGAGATGAGAATATTATTATAAAATGTGGGGATGTGATGTGTGAAGTCAGTCATTTCTACTTTTTGTAGAATTACCAGAGAAGCAGGAGCAGCTTCACGCCATCTATAAGGTTTTAGAGGAGCTTCCAACAGCCAACTTCAACACGCTGGAGCGACTGGTCTTCCATCTCGTCAGGTACACACACTGACACTGTGTGACCGTTTTTGTTTTTTTTTAAGTCAAGTTCTAAACATAAACTTCTGACCTAATCTCTCACAGAGTGTGTAAAGAGGAGCCTAACAACCGCATGTCTACGAACTCGCTGGCCATCGTCTTCGCGCCGTGCATCCTGCGCTGCCCGGACAGCGCCGATCCTCTCCTCAGCATGAAGGACGTCGCCAAAACCACCACGTAAGCTGTTTCATCTGTTTTATTTCTTTTCTGTCTTCTGTGCCTCGTATTCACCAACCGGCGGTTGTGAATGGCTCACGTGTTGACATCAACGCTGCAGGTGTCTGGAAATGCTCATCAACGAGCAGTTCCGTCGTTACAATGAGAAGATGGAGGAGATCGAGCAGCTGGAGTACGCCGAGACCGTGGCCATGAACCAGCTCAAACTGAAGAGACAAAACACGGTGAGAAACAGCGCCCTCCTTTGGTCTGGATCACTCTAAGTCCAGCAGCGGTCAGTCTCGATGATTAGCCCCGAGTCAGGAGGTGAAATAAGCTTCATTTATTCCGTCCCTCAACAGTTTTGATTTGACATGATTAAAACTTTTTGGTGCAGTTACTCGATGACGCCGAGGTCGCGCAAACAATAACAATAATTCCAGTGTCAGAAGCTGTTTTTCTGCAGTTACGTGGGTAACATGGCCAATGTTCCTTGTCTCTCTTTAGCACTACTGGCAAATTCCTCTCAGGTTGTCAGCTCCTTACAAAGGAGTGGTGGTATGTATCCCTGAGTTCTCCTGCAGTAGATCCACTAGCAGTAGTTGGTCGTAGTATGCCATGTAGAAGCACCTGTGCATGGCATGTTGTAAATGTGGGTGAGATCTGATGCTGTGGCTGGAAATTTACATCCAAAAAAAAAACATTTTAACCTCTTTTTTTTTTCCTCCATACTAACTTGGTCCAACATTTTAACTTATTTTTTTTTTCTTTTTTCCCTCCATACTAACTTGGTTGTTCATTGCATGTGGCTGATGTGACTCCGTCTGAGTTCCTGCTTGTGATGTGAAGGTTCTGCATTGAACAATCTCTCTGGTGTCAGGATCAGACGATACGTAGATATCTGTCATGCTGCTCAGTTCAGCTCAGGTCATCAGGTCATCACAGAGTCACAGGTTTGAGTCTGACAGACGGAGACAACGCTGCGTTGTCAGATCTGAAATAAAGGCTGGAGAAAAAAAGTAAAAAAAAGAAGAAGAAGAAGAATGTAAACAGTGGTGTCCAAAACCAAAACAAAGAAGTTTCTCATTTTGTCTTCACCTGTTTCACTGTGTTAGTCTGACCCTGACATTAGACAGTTTGAAAGGGTAGAGTGTGGTTGTGGGTTGGTGATGTAACACTCACACTAACTTTCAAAGAGAGATGGAGTTTCTGTCATGAACACAGTGCCTTTTTATTTTGCGTTTTTTCATGTTTCTGTCATGAACACATTCCCAGTGCCTTTTTATTTTGCGTTTTTTCATTTAATGGCTGTTCAGTTATTATAGTGAAGAAAGCAGCTGTGTTTACAACATTTATTCTTTTTCCTCCTTTTAATTATATTGTTTTGTGTGTTTTAAAAAGTTATATTAAGATGCATGAAAACCTCAGACACCATCACCCCCATCATTCCATTATTTTTATTTATTTTTTTCTACTAACACATTTAGACTCTGTTTCAGATTTGGGACAATTTCTTTATCCATGACTAGAATTTTCTTTCCAGTAGTTTTTACTGTCGACGTCCTGGACCGTTTGATGTTGAGGTGTGTGTGTGTGTGTGTGTGATGCTGTGTTATGTGCAGATTCACGAGAAAGCCACCTCGGAGCTGAGTGTGGTTCCTGAGAACGAGCCTCTGGACTCGGACACAGAGGCTGAGAAGAACCTGGTGGAACGCATCAAGTCAATCAAACAGGAGAAGTAAAGACAAATCGTTTTATTTTTACTCAGATTTAGCCTCACTCTTCTTCACTCAGTCATTCTTTCTTTTTTTGTTTATGGCTTTTTTTTTACTTTCCTGTGCAGAGAGGATCTGGCCTGTCGTCTGCCAGAGATGGAGCAGCCCGGGTCGGACCAGGAGAATCTAGACTCCGAAGCCTCGCTGAGCTCTGAGAGTCTTTTAGACGAGCAGCAGCAGCAGCAGCAGCAGCAGCAGCAGCAGCAGCGTTCCTCTGCCCACAGCTCAGAGGCCGACGGTCAGTGAATGATCCGTGTGGAAACCTTTTCCTTCCACCTGTTTCTCTCACTCACCTCGGGTTTTCTGAACAGACCTTTGGGGGCCAATGGGTTGGGCCCTTACTGTTGTTTTTTGTGGTGCAGGTCTGGACCAGTGATGGTGTTTGGGTCGGTGAAGTCTCTCTCTAACAAAGCAGGTTGGAGGAACAGCAACTGTGTTTTTGTTTTGTTTTTTACTGTGTATGTGTGTTGGTTGAAACCACAGACTGTATAAAAGAAGTCCAGTTGTAAAGGTTAAAGGTCAAAGAATTAGACCAAAACCACCAGGGAAACTGTATCCAAACCTCTCTGGTTTCTGGTCAAACTGTGTGTTTTGAGACGTAAAATAGGAACCTGTTTATCATCTACTTCTTTTACACAGTCTTTGTTGTGGTGTGTGTCTGTAAATGTGTGTGTGTGTGAGACACAGAAAAATACACAAAAACCATTTCAAAAGAGTCAGTCCAGACTAATTGAACATCAATTTTTTTTAAAGAATAACACGGTTGCATGTTCTTTCGTTGGTTCTAACCCTGAAGTGAAGTTTCAGCAAGACATTTCTCACTGATTCCTAAATGTCCTCTCCTTCAGGACGAGGCGTTGCGCAGCTGAGGAGATACAGACCGGTCTGTCCACCTAAACCCTCTGACCTGGCCCAACGACACAGAGTCTCTCTGTTCAACCATTCTTCTTCTAGCTTCACCTCCTCTGCTCTCTCCAGCTACGCTCCTGCAACTTCCGAACCATCCAATACGCTACGCCGCCACCTGGTCATCCCGGGCACCATTAAACTGTCCCCAGGCGTCGCCCCCCCGTCTCCGGTCACTAGTCCAACTCAGGGCTGCACTCCTCTCGGAAATCACGGTTTGAAGTTCTTCGTCAAGAAAAAGGAGCACCCTGGCCGCCGCAAAGACCCCACCCAGTCGCTGTTCATAAACAGCCCACAGTGCAACCTCTACGTGCACATCTCCTCCTCGTCTCCATCGCCTGCCACCTCCCCTTCTGCCCCGCCCATGTCTTTGCTGACTCAGCACAAGGATCACAGGAGCACAACGGCCTCGAAGGGCCAGAGACGTTTTTCTGACCCTGACGTACCTGGCACGGAAGAGGACCTCTGATTGGTACAGGATGTCAAAGATGGCAATAGTTTCCCTGCTAGAGACAACTATTATAAAAAAATTTAAAAAAAAGCAGGAGCCACACAGAGGAGGACGAGACATAATAAAAAAAAATTTAAAAAGCAGGAGCCACACAGAGGAGGAGGAGGAAATTTGAACACAGTCAGATGATGAACAGACGTGAGACAAAGAGAAAAACTGCTAATGTTCAAAGTTTAACTGGACAAAATGTTGCCAAGCACCTTTTCTGTCTTTTTGATATATTGCTGTTACTTTGAATGATGGATGGAACACGGGCTGTTGTTTTTTGCAGCCTTCTCATGATGACATCTGGATTTTTCTTTCTTTCATTTTGTGTTTTTTTTTTTTTTATTGTTTTGTTTTGTTTTTCTAAATTCAAGGAAACATTTGTGGTTCCAGTCGCACTTTTCATTTCCTAGTCTCCTATTGAGCAACTCATGTTCGCTGAACTCTTAGCTAGTGCCTTGATAAATGTACAGTCAGTTGAACAAGAACCTCTCTAGAGCTCATGGTGGTCAGGAGGAAGAGAGTTTACCTTTACGACAGCATTTTGCGTTTATTGTACAGAATCACCCGAGGAGAGACCACGAGTTTATAACCACGACCTCACCGTGCACAAGGTAATTGTTGTCCAAAAGACAACAAGTCTGTCTCCCTTCACCTTTTTCTCAATGCACAACAAACAGCAGACGGACAGCCATCGCCTTCTAATAGCAAAGGGAAACGGGAGCAGCACACGCCACTTTTTTTGAAGTCCTTTTTCTAACGAAAACACACCAACACAACACCGGTACGTCATGGCCCGCACCATGATGTCTTTAAAGCTCAAACTCCCAGACCTCTCCTTTGCCCCCTTTTCTAAAAAAATGTACTTGCTTCACTCAGCTGAGGACAGTCGGGCTCTGCTGAAGCAGGTCAACTTTGTATGACATGAAATACTAATGTTCCTCTCTGACTGCTGTTGAAAGATGTCTGCTGGTTTGCCTGGATTATGAGGACAATGTGTAATGTGTAATGGAGTGTATGGTTGGGACTGAATGTTATTAGTATTAACGTGACAATACAGAACGTGATGCTTGTTACATCAGGTGCTGCCGTGTGAGTTTTGTCAAGGTGCAGGTAAGTGTTTGTCCGTGTTATAAACAACTATATAAATCAATATCATGAATGAGTTTTCAGGTCATTTACAAATACTGGTTTTCCCCAGATGAAGGTAACGAAAGTACTTTGATTTATTATATACAAAAACTATTAGAAATTGGAAATTGAAAATAAAAGTTCCTTTTATTAATAATTATAAATAATTACAATAATTACAATTACGCTGGACCTGGAAAATATTGATTTTTTTATTATTTGAAAAAAAATGTAAATATTGTACATGTAACAAAACATCCGTTACAACTTTAAACTAAACGACAACACCCTGTCCGTTAACTGGTGGAAAAGAAGACCGGATGTGACGATAGAGTTTCTAAGCGATTAAATTGCATTTCTTATTATTTTCATTTTATTCGAATGTGTATTGTTTTTCTCTACAGTTTACAGTTGCTGCTAAACTTATTTATATTTCGCTAGAAATGTTTATAGTGTTATGGCGAATATTTTGATCAAATTAAGCTTAAAATCGCAAACCTTTGTTGTACGCTGACGTTGCCTGCAAACGACTCCTATTGGATTGCCAAGCTGTCAGTCAGTTATTTTCTACAGTCTGTTTGGTTGAGGAAGCAGTGACGTTTTAAATAATAAAGATACCGGAAGTTCGAATATGTATGAATATGTAGCTGCCTTCACAGTAGTATTTAGACTAATAAACCACCCCGGAACGGGATGTACATTTTATATGTACAGTTACTGGCGCAACGAGAACAATTTTGATTTTTGAATTTTACCTAATTCTTTTTATTTTGGGTAAACAAAAACGCTCTGCGCGCTGTTACGTCATTGTGCTGCGACTGGTGTCACTTTCAAACATGGCTTCCCGGTTAGAAATAAATTTCATCCGACTGTTGTCTCGCTGTGAATCTATCGCCTCAGAGAAACGAGGAGAGGCGGAATGGAGGTTGGAGAAGGTGAGTTGATCCGTAGATGCTGCTCCAGCTGCAGGTCATCGCTGGGGTTCTGGCGTCGCTGGCTGTAGTTAGTGAATCGTTGCTGCATGTTTTTTAGCCACGTCGTCACCGACTGGAAAGGCAAACGGGCACCAGCAGGGAGAGGGTATCGTTCCTACACGAATAAAATCTGTGCAGAACTATTAAATAATACAAGTCGAATTAAAATACACATTTAATTTTGCCGGTTTTACATGGGTAAAAGAATTACACGTTTTTACTGCACGAACTGTACCTTAATAACATCATTATTATATCTGAGCTTTTACGAGCTAATGTATATTTGACTAAATGGTTTGGGCTTTCGGGGTATTTTATGCCCTATAATTTTAAAGGGAATAAACCATTGTAATGATGCCTGGATTAGTGGTGTGTGTCGCAGTGACGTGGAGAAAAGTGACTCTCATCTATTTCAGTATGTGGCTGCTCTGGAGGAGATGCTTGTGGCTCTGAGGAAAAGTCTGAGGTTCGTTCACTGTTTCATATGACCTTAAAACATTGAAGCTCTCACAGTTACCAATAACATATTATTTCCTTATTTAGCAAACCCACACCAGAAGTCCTGACAGATTACACCAGAAAAGTAGATTTCCTGAAGGGACTCCTAGAAGCAGAGAAGTTGGTAAGTAAAAAATTAAAAATGTCTGGGTTTTTTTTTTTTTTTTTTTTTTTAGGTTTTGGTTACATAGATATACTTTCTAAGAGTTGTTTTTTTAAATTGAATAATCTGATTTTTTTTTTCTTATTTTGCCTTACTATTCATCACTTCCTTCTCTAGTCTTCAACAACAGAAAAAGCTTTAGCCAATCAGTTCCTGGCCCCCGGGCGAACGCCCACCATAGCCACTGAGAGGATGCCGGCCACAAAAACCGTCCACATACAGTCAAAGGCTCGCTGCACAGGAGAGATGAGGGACGAGCTGCTCGGCACAGTAGGAGTAAACCTTCACATATTTATGTCATGTTTAAAACAGTACTTTTTTGAAGTAAGCTTTAACGTGGACACAGAGGTCGTGTTGTGTTTTCAAAAGTCACTCATTAATGTTGTTTTTTGTTTTTATAACAGGTTGGTCCAGTCAACGGTAAGGTGATAAAAAATACAACTATTATAATTATATATAATTATAATATTTAATTTAAGTGATCTCTTATTTAGCCTCTTGTCAAAGTTAGTGACACCAACAACACTTTGTTCCTGACAGGCACATCAGAAACAGAGCTGCGGAACAGAAGGTAAAAATTCAAAACTTTTACATCTGTAAAAAGGTCAGTTTTGTTATATTTTAACTTCACTCCTCGACAGTGAACGTTGTACAGTCGTCACCTTCTACCTCCATGCTCCAACTCCTACGAAGTGGTTGGATGTGTTGTGTTTTTTAAGACTAGACACAGTTACCGTTAGGTTCACTGAGCCCTGAGAAGATTCTGGGTCCTGAAGCCGTGATTGACCTTGATCTCCTTTGGAATCAAATTAATCTCGAAGTTTTTTTTTTTTACTTGTTTCCTAGGAAACCTGGATTTCCTTGACCTGGTTTCTGGTTACAACAAAAAAAAAAACTGAAACACTTTTCAAAGCAGCCATTGTTCAGCACTGCGGTATAAAAGTGTCAGTCAAATGAAGTACTCGTGTGGAAATGTTAATGTTCAGCTGTTTTCTTCACACATGTCCCACAGGACCTGGTACTTTTTTGATAGATCACTTAAGTCACGTGAACTGTTTGTATTTTGTTATGTTACCTTTGGGACCATGTAAAACTTTGTGTCCACTCTGGACAGAGGTCTTCCCCTGGACGAGCGTCAGTCCGCAGCAGAGCTGGACGCCGTCCTGCAGCATCACCACAACCTGCAGGAGAAACTGGCTGAAGACATGCTGAATCTGGCCCGAAACCTGAAGAACAACTCCATGGCTGCACAGAACATCATCAAACAGGACAACCAGGTAGGCTAAAACCCCCTGCTGTTCAAAAAGTGTCATTTCAGTTTAAACCCATGGCCTATGGATTGTTTTTTTTTTACACCTGTATAATATCGTAGCAGCTCACGTCTGTCTACACGTCAGCCTTTTGTAGAAGAACTAATCTTCGAGTCTTCATCCACTCCAGAAGGTCTGACCGCTGACTGTTCTCTCTTCTTCCCAGACTCTGGGTCACTCCATGCGTCAGGCCGACGTGAACTTTGAGAAACTAAAGACAGAGTCGGAGCGACTAGAGCAGCACACCAAGAAGTCTGTGAACTGGCTGCTGTGGCTGATGCTCATCCTGGTCTCCTTCACCTTCATCAGCATGATCCTCTTCATCAGAATCTTCCCCCGGCTCAGATGATGATGATGATGATGATGATCATGATCGCTCACAGATCTGAACTCTTAGTCCCGTCTCAGCCCGCAGAACCAGAGCGACATGGGCCTCCATGAATCTAGGTAGAACGTCTGAACGTGTTCTGGTTTTCAGAGTCGGAACAATTTAGTCTGAAGGACTGAAACATTTGCACTTTTTAAAAATAAAATGGATTGACAGGAGAAAATCATAATGCAGATGGCAGTTTGATTTTCATTGTTCTAGAACATGAGGGAGGAAGGGGCGAGGGGGGGCTCAGAGCTACATGGAGCAGGAGTAGAGACTTAAAAACCAGGAAGTATAGACTGGACCCAGAACCCAGTTGTCAGATGGCAGACATGTTTCCACAGTCTTAATCAGTGTTTGTTTACCACAAAGAGCAAATGTCATAGTCAAAGTATATACTTAACACTAAATTACCATGAAAATAAACCATTAATCATAACCATAATCATAAACAAATGATCCATGATGATTAATTTAAATTATTTAAAAGCTCTAAAAGGAACTCATCTCTGACGCTGTGCAAATCTACAGGATCTTGAACATAACCAACAAGACAGTGATGCCTTCACTGTCATAGGAAAAATGCTATTAGTATAATTATTAGACGTTAGTAGAATTAACAGCCATATATGTGTGTGTATGTGTGTGTTTGTGTCACTGTTGTCGTGGTTCATGAAGGTTGAGGTTGGTGGATATTTTTGTTTCCACACATCTGACACACGTGTGTGCTGAAGGTCATTGTGACAGGGTTGTGTGTGTGTGTGTGTGTGTGTGTGTGTGTTCACAACAAGTAAAGTGATTCTTGAAAACAAAACACATCTGTTTTTCTTTTACTCAGATGCTAAAAGTTGTTGTTTGTGCTAACAGCTAGCACGGTGCCCTGGACAAGTCGGACCGACTCACCCACAATTCTTGTGGTTTGGGTCAGCAGCTTTGTATTCTTCTAGTTACATTACTGCCACCTACTGGGTGTATTGTTTAATGTTCATTTATTTATTCTTCTAGAGTTGAATTATTTTTTATTTGGAGTTGGTGCTAACTCCAGCCGTCGTCAACAGTGAAGTCACGGGTTTATTTAGTGTCCGTTCCACATAAAATATAATCTGCGTGTCTGCATGTCATGAAAAACCCACAATCACAGTAATCACTGAGGGTTGAATCAGTAAAAGACACGCGCTCCAAGTTACATTGTGTGACTTCGTATTTGGTCCAAAGTGCTCGGAAATAGAAGGGAAAAAAAGATTAAGGATATAATCCGTGCAGATTACCATAGAAACATTATAAATTTTAGACATTTCTTTTTCTTTATGCTCTAAATTAACTCCAGAAAAATCAAACAGTTAGGCTTCAGGAAAACGATCAGGGTGCAGTGACCTCGTCTGGCCACTGCGTGTCAGTCGTGATCTTACAGTAAACGCACTGAGTAACCCCCATGACCCCTGGCGACCTGATGAAGCCAGGAATCTAAAGATAACACCTCGGTACGACGGAGTGAAGTGAGCCTAAATAAAGGCAGTACTGCAGTACTGCGATCTGAATCATCAATGCAGTATTTGTCGTACTTTGTCCAAGACGGAGACACACTCAGGGATTCAAGGTCGACGTTTCCTCCCGTCACATGGTGGCAGTTTCTCACAGGTCTCACATTCCTTCAGTGTTTGCAGCCAGTCCAGACCTGCAGCTCTGGCCCATCCTCACCTCCACCCTCCCCCCACAACCACCCCCCCCGCTCCTCCTCAGGGCTGGGTGGGGGACAGGCTGGGCCGGAGTCTGGTCCTCTGTGTATTTTAGGATCTCGAGGGCGGGGGTGGGGTGGATGGTGGAGGGGGGTGTTTTGCCTGGTGGAAGCTGAGGTATGCAGTCCACCAGGAGACCAAATGAGGTGGTGTCACAGTGGACGGTCGTTATCACCCAGTTTAATCACCGAGCTGCTCGGTGACCAAGCACTTCCACAACTGCACTGCACCGGCTTCATCAGTGGGGCAGGTCATTCATTTAACATTAATTAACTGATTAACATCAGTAACCTGACCGTTCCTGAATCGAACCATTATTCGGTGTCATTTTGGTTTTAGATTCCAAAACATTTTTCTTTCAACTTTTTCTCTGTTTCTCTGCTTCAACATGAAGTCAAATATAATTTATCGAGTAAAAATGTCGCCATGTGTCACATGATGTGTCAGAGTACATTTTTATTTTATTTTATTTATAACGGTCATTGTTATTAGTCTTCTTTTGTATGTATAAAACTCACAGTACACGCCCCCTACAGGTCATTGATGGTCATTTTCACACACAACAATCAAACATCATCTAAAGTAACTCCGTGTTTCCCCCTGACTCTGACAGAGAGGAACAACTTTAACAAATCCAAATGTTCTTTTACGACGGGTCTAATTTATTCACAGGATTAACTTCTGTGGAGCCAAGCTGTAAAAAAAAAAAAAATTAATAAATAAAATAAAAAGTTAGTTAGTAACTGGACCTCACGACCTGTCAACAGTCTGGAGCACCGACGTGAACGTTGTTGAGAAGTTTTCATGACATCTCATTTCTAATACGAGGGGCGCGGGAGGTCAGGAGGTCCTTTCTTATAGGTCAAGGTCACAGTGTTTTATTATTTCTCCACATTTTTTTTTTTGCTTTTGTTTCAAAACTCAAACGTTACTTAACGTTGTCTCTGGTTTCATCAAGACCTGGTGGTGACAAACACCTGGTTCTAATGAGACCGAGCGTCGTTTCTGAGTCTGGGTTAAAGTGAGGACTCAGAGGTGAACGGAACTGAGGTCAAAGTTAAGGTCAGGGGTTCAATTCTGGTCAGGCTGCACCAGTAGATGGGAGTCACTGCTTGGGTCTCTGTGTGTGTGTGTGTGTGTGTTTTAATTGGTTTGATCCTGCGAAACAATGCAGAACGCAGGAACAAAATGAAAGCCCCCCCCCCCCCCCCCCCCCCCCCCCCCGCCCCGCCCCCCCGCGCCAACACTGCTGTCTTTTTTAATTTCGTTGTTGGCTCCAGTCGCTCTGAGGATTTAACTTCCCTGCAGAGATGAAGGAGATTTTTCTTATCCTTTTTCCACCTCGTACGCTGAAAGGTTTTATGTGTTTATTTATTTTTCTGTCAAATGAAAAGTTGTTTTTTTTAATCACGTAGGCATTTATTATCCATCATAAATAAAAGTCCAACCGTCCAATTGGTCAGTCTGACGACCAATGAACGAAGGCTAATTCAGACTCTTCCGTGTCGAGGTGATCAACACCAAAGTTTTGCGTTCGTCTCTCGTCCTCTTTTAGCTCTAAGACAGGGACAGACATACGGTCCAAACAGGCCCCTCCCATCCTGTGACATCATCAATATTAAGTCTTTTAATCTGTCTCTCTCAGTCGTTGGTGTGAGAACGTGACACAGACACAGCTGGGAGAACTGGGTGTCCTCTGTGTGTGTTGTGTCTGTGGACGTTACTGAGACACAACTCCAGAAAGTCTGCAGGTGATAACACACACACACACACACTGAGCTGCAGCTTTAAACACCACCGTGTTTGTGTGTGTGTTTATTGCACCAGCACATGTGATCCCCCCCCCCCCCCCCCCCCTCCCCCCCCCCCCCCCACTCCCCACCTCCCCACCCACAGCCAACACGCGGGTTAAAG